ATATAAAGGTTATGCTTCATGTTTGTCACCGAAGCCTTCAGCAGCTAACAGAAAATGTTACTCTTTCTTGGTCAGAACTTTTTAATTGCAATATTGCAGAAATAGAAAATAAGCTTAATGACTTGCTCAGCCCATCTCGTGAGAACTTAGAGAATGAGATTGTAGATGAGGAGAAACAGCAGGAAATCTATGATCATGAAGAAGAGATACGATTTGATTGGATGTTCTTATCAGAAATGGGCCAAAATGTAATATTTGATAATTCTTCTGACTTAGGCTTATGTAATATTGATCGAAATTTCAACTGGACTGATGATGTTAGACAACATTATCCAGATTTTAACCTTGATAATACCACTACTTTCATACAATAAACTTGTAGCAGAAATATTATTAATTCTGAAAGTTTACTCCCAGATTTTATTGATGATCACACCTTAAACAAAAAACAGATGAAAGTATTTAAGCGAATAGAATTGCACTATAATACTATAATTACAAGTCATAATTTTCCTGAGCCGCTCAGACTTATTATCATAGAAACTGCAGGAACAGGTAAATCGTATCTAATTAATATGATTATAAAGAAACTTCAATTGATAGCAAAGGAAAATAGTGTTGAGAACTCCCTCGTAATTGTTCTTGCACCAACTGGGGTCACAGCTTTCAACATTCATGGTGAAACAATCTATTTAGCACTCTCTATTCCAGTAAATAGCACTAACTTTAATATAATTGGTGAACGTCTAAAGCTGCTACAAAAAAGATTAAATGGTATAATTTATGTCATAATTGATTAAAAAAGCATGGTAGGATGTCATATATTTGCTTTAATTAACATGCGACTATGGCAGGCCTTCCCTGAATACCAAAATCAACCATTTGGTGGTTGATCACTCATTCTGGTTGGTGATTTTGGTCAACTTCTGCCAGTACTTGATTACCTTATATATGCACAAAATCTTAGCTATAACCCATTATCAAATGATGGTATTGCAGCCTACAAACAATTTCGAGAAGTTAATCAGCTTGATATTATTTAACGTCAATCTGGTGATTCAGATGAACAACGTAATTTTAGAGACATTTTGTTATGGTTGGTGATGGTGAATCTATATTAGATGATTGGAAGAAGCTTGCCATATGATTCAATGGTTTATCAAATATAATACCTACGGAGTATGACCAATTTTCTGATGCCATATTTATTTTGCCTCAGAGAGTTGATGTTGATGAAATTAATATTAGTAAGCTCAGATTGTTAAATTGACCTGTTGCTAGAATTCACGCTGTTCATACAGGTAGCAAAGCATCTAAAGCTGACTCAAATATAGCAAAAGACCTTGACGCACAACTACTGTTAGCTAAAGGTGCATATGTTATGCTCAAAGCAAACTTATGTGTAGAAGCAGGGTTAGTTAATAGGGTACTAAAGACAGTCTATGATATTCTATTTGAAAATGATCAGGGCCCACCTTCTCTTTCTATCACTGTCTTTATAGAATTTGATAATTATAATGCCCTGCAATTGTATCTACAGAATGCAAAAAACTTGTCCCAATTCTACCAACCTTTTTAACTAAATATAATATTAGTGTTAGGAAGATAGCTTATCATTATAATATAACTATACAGAACATATA